GAGGAAGGGGGGGGGTTCTTCCTCTCGCCTCCCAGGAGGGGGCCGCAGCGCCGGGCCGCGGTGTCTCCGGCTCCTCCTCTCCCTCACACCCCCTCCCGCCCCTCTCTACCTGCGGGGCACCCGGGCAGGAGGAGGCGGCGCGCGGACGGGGCCCAGCGACAACTGTCAGTTAGAAGCCCCGCTGGGCGGAGGGGGAGGGGGAAAGGGGAGGGACAGGCTGAGAAGGGGGAGGGCACTCAGCCCCCTCGGCTGGGGAGTGCCCTGGAAAGAGGCACCGTCGCCATCCCCAGCGCGCATGCGTGGTAGAACAACCGTCCCCCGCCCCGTTACGCGAAACTGAGGGCTTGGGCTCAGCCACAGGCCCCGAGGCCTGATAGGTTGCGCGGCGCGATGATGTAATCAGCTCGTAGACGACTGTAGAGGGCGGAGTGGAGGGGGAAGCAAAGCGCCTGCGCAATTTAACTTGCAACTTCGAGGGAAGGCGGCCAAAAGGGATTTTTAAAGCGAGTGCTGCAGGAGGATACTTCTTTTCAGAGACACTTGTCAGCCCTAAAACGTGAAATTAATTCTAAAGGAAGTTTCTAGATAATCCTTGTTAATGGTGAATGAGTAGTGAGAAACCACAAAATGTAAATCCTCTCCACTGTAAAATTGACATTCTCTGCTCGCTTCCTCTCTGCGACTGACGATCTTTTATATAAAACTAGAGTTTTGAAAAGTTTAGAAAGGAAGTTTAAAGGCTCAACCGTACGTTTCCATGCAAAATTTCAGGAAATGCATAATTTTCTGAAAAAAGACGTGATTTGTAGAACTCTAGTTTCTCAAATTTCTGTCCCCAGTTCTTAACATCAATTTATATTTTGGAAATTATTCCCATGTTTTCCGTTAAAAATCAGAAAAAAAATTTCCACCCTCTCAGTTCTTGAGATCTGCTAAGAATAAAGGAAGGGAATGGAACTTCGTTAAAAAAAAAAAAAAACAGGAAAGAAAGAAGGAAGGAAGGAAGGGAGGGAGGGAGGGAAGGAGGGAAAAGAAAAAATCCTTGGGACTAGGAAGTTTCCAAATACTTCAAGTCTGAGATGTACAGCATAGAAAATAGTCGTTGGCGTGGCCTTACAATCTCACCACACATTTAAAAATTACTATTTAAATAATAATCAAGAAGTTGACTCATCATTGACATTAATTTATGACGTTGCTTAAAATAAGGGGGGAATGAGTGGTTCCATAAAGCAAACATTACTGTTTTCTCGTGTTCTATTTGAAAGATGCACGTTACTTTTTATTACACAGAAACCTCTTGCTTGAAACTTGGAATTACTTAAACACAAAAACAAAATTATAGACATTATGCATTTTGAAAGTAAAAGTTACATGACTAAATGGTAGGGATATTCTGATTCTTAAGATTATTTACTTTTCATTAATGTGACCTTTAAAGCACTGATAAAATTCAAAGGTTTTTGTTTGTTTGTTTGTTTTGTCTAGTGAGTTAAATTATCAGTTTAAGGTAAAATAGTGAAGTGAGAACACTTGATTTTTTCAGGTGACATTCCCCTCATCCACACACCTACACATTAGCTAGTATTCAAGGTCTCCTCTCACTTCATCAGACATTTGTAACTTTTTAGGCATGTACAGGTTTTTCTCTCCTCAGAGCCCACGGATGTACCTCAGTTAACAAGAAGAAAGGCAGGAACCAGTCCTACTTCAGCAAATGGCAACCAAACATGTGTCTGACTGAACACCCCTCATTTTGTTTAACAAAGCCTAAGCCCAAGAATCTGGAGCCAACCATACCCAAGCAAATATCCCCTTTGCCTCCTCTTTAGCCACCAACATTACTTCATGCTTCTCAGATAATATTAGCTTTCATTTATTGAACCTTGTGCCACTTAGCACTTTATATTCATTATCTTTATTAATTCTCACAACTCTATAAGCTAGGTATTATCCTCAGTTTACAGATGGGGAAAGATGCTTAGGTTAAGAAAGTAGTTCATCAAAATTCAAATCAAGCTCTGTCATACTTTAAAAATGCCAGGTGCCTAATTCCATGACATCTGACAAAATTTTCAAATTCTCATGCACAGGAGTGTAGGGAATTGCTAAACATGTTAATTAAAGGCTTCTAAATTAATAAGGTATATAAAAGAGAAACAAGTGTAGGTAAGTATAAGGAACCTGAACTCTAGGTCATGAAGAGGCCAAGATGATAGCAATTCTAGCTATTATGAAAATAGGATAAGGTTCCTGAACTTAAAAAAAAAAAGAAAAAAAACTTTATTATACAAGAAATATGTTGGTTGTAGGTAAATTAGAAAATGTAGGTGAGAAGAAAAATTGCCATTTAATTCTCCCCCCCAGAGAAAACCTCTATTAATACTTTGAGGTGGGATTTTTCTGTTTATTCATCTATACTTTTTTATTGATCTTAAGTAAACTTAAAATTGTGATCATACTGTATGTAATGTCTGTAAACTTATTCCCTCTTCCTCCCATTAATAACAAAACAATTGTATGGAATGGACAGGAATTGCATATCTACAATCTCAACTTTACATCCCTCTCTACAATGGCCTAGATGGCCTGTCCATCTGAACTGGTAAGGGGTGAATTCGAAAATTCTAATTCCAAACTATAAAAAAGAACACAGTAGAGGTACAAACAACAGTAGTAACAGCTACAATTTATTGAACACTTACTAGGTCTTACATATTTGCTAAATACATACACATTACTCACAATAGTACCAGGAAATCACAGTAGATGTATTTGCTTTTAAGTTTTGGATCAAAATTTGCTGAGTAGAAAGCTTTTTCTACCCTACAAAAAGCTCAACATTAAAGACCAACATTCCAATATAATTAACCCTAGATTTATAGAGCTGTTTTCTTATAATGCACATCTATTGCTAAATGACTAGTCTCAAAGCTGTTTTCTTTTTCATGTTTAAAGATAGTTTGCTTTCCTCTCATTTTCACAACAGAATACTCTTCAGTACTACTATCAAATCTGTTAGGAACTTCTTCAAAATAGAAATCTGTCTAAGCCCCATTGTGAATCAGGGCTTCTCTTCTTGAGCTGCTTTGCAGGGGGGGAAATGTCATACATACACAAAGCAATAATCTGCTGAAACACGTAACACTGACTGATGCCCACAAATATTGATTACTTACTATTTGTCAAACACTGTGTTACAGTATGTTACATGCTACCAATATTAGATGTACCAGGACTCCCTTTTCAGTAACCAGGGTTCTTGGAGTCTTGGGTAACATAAAAAAATAGAGACCAGTCTGGCTAGGAAGATTTAAAAGTTCTAATAACTCTCACCTGGACACCTTGGGAACTAGAATATGGATGGATATGTCCCACCCAGTTCTTAGGAGTACATTATGAAAACGTTTATATATATTATAGAGAAAACTTCCACATCCATTGCAGTATCTCAAAACTCTCTCGTAATTCCAGCATCCTCCCATTACCATGAATACCAGAAGTATTATCAAAGAGGAATAAGCCTGCCACTATATCCTTCACCCTCCTCAATTCCAAAGATGTTTTCCTGGAAGTTTTCCTATCTTTGTGAGATCTTAGCATCTTGTTAGTCAGCATGACATCTTGACACCAAGTATACTGCTTACCCGGCATCAAGAGTTCAGACAAACAGCAACAATTTATACATTTCACATCAACTAGGGGAAAGGTGACAAACATTCAAAGACAACTGGAAGCACTGGGTATCACCACGGTTTGTGTTCAAGAGATAAACATGCAAGATAAACAGAAGGCTGTAACACTAATTTTGGAGAAACATGGGGAAGAAATATGAACGGCTCAGCAGGGAGAAAAGTTCTCTCATTTATAACGGAATCCACACACAACACT